TATAGTCCTTAAGAATCATGTAATGGTTACCTTCTAGCAATCCGGTTGAACAGGGTATGTGTGTGCATTTGTTGAGATCATCATATCACTAGAATGCATGCAGTTTGTGATATCCGCTGCAAACGCAGATTTTCAAAACTTTTTCTACAAAGCACCGGCTATTGCATCTTAGAAGTAATAAGCTGATCTGACTACCCTGTTCATCACTGAATTGCTGGTTGAAATCTGCCGTATTTCGACTCTCACTAGAGCCTGGTGGCACGGCGGCAAAGAGGTCAGCTTTGAACTCCAGATGCTAAGTTCAAATCCGCCGAATGGAAAATCTCTGTCTGAACCGCGAACTGCCTTGAGTAAGGAATTAACTCCATGTTTCTTCTGTTCAACAGGTCGAGAAACGAGCAGTAAGTAGGCGGGTGACTTGTAAAAAGAGGAACAACATGGTATTCCGATGCGATCACACCGCAATGGAAGAAGAAACGGTATTACGCAGTTATGGTAAGGCAACGCTGTTCGATACAGGCGCCACTTGTGGCAGCACTTCGACTTGACCAACCTTATATATGATTATACAGTGTAATAATCAGCACAAGGTGTAATCCCGATTATATTTCGACATGAAAAGCTTATGGAGCTGCAGCAAATGGTCTGTACGAAACCAATTTGTCTAATAAGACCTAACTCCTTTTCTTAGACCTCTGAAGGCGGGTATACAGTGGCCAACAATTCAGCAATTACGCAGCAGGTAAATTCTTGATATAAAAGTTATATATTTGCCATTAATAAGAACACAGGATGAAATATATTGAGTTCATTGTTTCGTACGTCACTTCAGATCAAATTACATGATTTTCAGGTACTTCCATCAACGTGAAAATTACGTTATCAGGAAGAAACCGCGGGCTACGCTTTCTACGTATTTACTGATTCGTTTTCAAAACTGTCGCTGTTTCTTTCGGGTCGAAAAAGGCCACTAGCTTCAAGACACTTTGCCAACGGCGACAGTTCGCCGCAAACGGAAAAGCTCAATGATGAGAACTCAAAGAAATGAAATTCCGTGTCTTCATATGTAATAGAGCCATTTCATCTGCAGTCTGCTCCTGGGAATTTTTCCCAGTGGCGTAGCCAAGAGAGCTCGCGTTCGCTTTGCTTCCACATTCCGAGTTTCCCTTTCGAATACCTCTTTCTTTGCCATCGCACAGAACTAGTAAAAGCAACCAGAAACAAAAATATTCAACTCTAGGACATTCGATAGCAAAAATGGCAAAAGGCTCAATCAGTTACGTGAAGAGCCCAGATCTGTCTTTAGCGACGACCAAGTTCCGTCGTTTCATCTTCTGCTGCATAAACTAACTGCAGACTTATAAAGATTTGACAGCGTGTTCAGCTGAACGTTTCAATAAATAATTACCAGCATTCAGAATCATAATACTTTTACAATGGTCACTGGCACTGGTGAATATGCGAAATTAAAAATGACAAAATCTGGCTCATGACGAAGAGAGCATGTACAATGACGAAAGACGTGAGCGTTACAAACGTCAGGAATCGTACTCAACTGGACGTTTGAATGATTACCTTCGAACCTCGTCGTCCCCGATGCCATCCTTGGAAAACGAGAAGACGGCGGCGGCCAACAGCCCGACGCTGCCGCTGTCTTTCACCGTCTGCAGCAGACCTCGTAAAGACTGTTCGTTGTAC